AAGCAAGGCCAAGGAAGAGGAAGAACTTTGACAATGTCACAGTATTAACTAACAGGTAATAAATTTTCCTTTGCTTCCTGTGACTTTGTTTTATTTCATCTCTTGTATACTGATCAAAGAAATTTGAACAGGATCATGAAACAAAGGCTTGATGATCCCAGTGATACTCTTCGTGAGAGAACGAAGATGCCTGCATCTAAAGTAGGTGTATGGAGACTGAATAATAACCAGTCAAAGAATGATCGAAGTTTCAATGAGCCCTTGTTTACTGGTAATTCTACAGTGACTCTTTCTTTTATCTTTGATGGTTTTACCTTCTTTTGTGCTTCGTTTTTGAAGAAAGATTGTTTCCTATGTTTATCCGCAGGCTTCTCAGATGCTTTACGCACTGTCTTTGAAAAGGACTGTGTATCTTCAAAGCCATACCTTGCTGTTCCTGATGAAACTTTACCGGAACCTGCATCTGTATCATCTCCTACTCAAGAAGCTGAAACAGAAATTATCCCGACCTCTCCAATTCCACAATCTCCAGTTCCTGATTTTACTAATCCAGACAATACAGTTCCGCGGTCTCCAGGTCAGCAAACTGAAAACGTCCAAGATGCAGAGTCTGTAGCGCCAGAAGTCCGTAGAGACTTTGCAGGTCCTCAATCCCCAATTACAGTGTCTGTAGCAACAGAAGCACGATCTCCTCAAACATATAATGATGATGACATGGGAGTCGAACATTTAAGGGATGGTGGTTACCCTGAGTACGTGCCGTCACCACCTCCAAGATCTTCACCTTCTAGAACCGGTGATTTCACAGTTCAGCCTGGAACTTGGGAGACAGGATCTTATAGAACAGAGTCATCAACTTCCACAATTCCAGAGGATATGCCTGGAGGAAGAAACTCGGGGCTTTCACCTATTCCTGAAATGGCGGACGAGGTTTGTTCTCACGTTGTCTCATGTTTTGTTTTTACCATTCTTGGTGCATTGCTAAAATACCATTTGCCTGTGCTATATAGGATCTTTATTTCCTGGAGGTAGGTGGCACTACCCCGGTAAGATCACCAGCTAGTCAAGATTCTGATGGTTTGTCAGGGAGAACAAGGTATAAAAGATTCCGAAAAACCATGTAGCTTTAAGAGCCTAGTGTTTTCTCTACTAACTTGTAACATTCATTGAACATTGCAGAGCCTTGGCCAAGTATCTTCAAGAACGTTCTTCAAGTAGTCCCTCTTCAAGCTCTGCTTCTGGAGATCTAAGTTTGAGCAAGATCTTAGCAGGAAAGACAAGGAAGCTAGCTGCTCGGATGTTCTACGAGACACTGGTGATTAATCGTCGATACATTTTCTTTCCTTTATCACTCCATTGCCTCTAGCTGAGACGGGTTGTTTTTGGATTACAGGTATTGAAGTCTAGAGGACTTATAGATATGCAACAGGACCAACCGTACAGCGATATCACTCTGAAGTTGATGCCTAACCTTTTTTCAAAGGTTTAACTATGATTTATTTTTGTGTATATTAGTAACATTGGTGGTAGACAAAAAAAAAGAATGAAGCAACAACTTCTTTAGTATTTAACCTTGTACATTATTTCTTACCATGCATCTTCTCACTCGAATTGCAAGCAGCTTGTCATTAAAAATCTGCAAAAATCACAAATAATAAATAATATTTGAAACTGTATAAAGGCATCAAAATGAGGCAATCTGCAGCTCAATCTACTGCAGGAAATGACCCATGAAAACATTTGCAAGAGTTTTGAATTTGATAATGATTCTCTCTCTGACCATTACATTACTGAGTCAAAAATTCAAGTAATGAAGCTAAACCAGAGTAAAGAATATGTAAATCTATCTGTTTTCCGATTTTGTTCTCTATTTTGCTCACCAACAAGGAACCTATCACAACAATGATCTTGATATGTGAAACTTACGCAAGCCACGTAGCAATAACTCAACCTTTCAATTGGAAATTATTTGTTGAAGAATACAAATACAAGTCACAGAACCAAATCAAAATCTGAGCTATCAAGTCTTATCATCCATGGAAATGGATCATCACAATATTATTTCATTTTGCAGAAATGTAGAAGATACAGAAACTATTAAACTCAATACACTTCGACATGCCACTGCTTGTTCTTCCTGAGTTGAGTAAGTTTCTGCTCCCAGCTTTCGCCTCGCTCTTCAGCGACTCTCTTAAGCGTATCCTGAATCCCAGGCATCATTCCTTTAAGCCCACAAAAGTAAATATGAGCTCCATTGTCCAAGAGTTTGAAGATCTCGTCGCTATATTCTTCAATCTTATCCTGCACATACATTTTCCCTCCTTTCTGGTTCTTTTCTTCTCTACTCAGCGCTTTGTCGTACCTGAAATGCTCGGGATAGTCCTTGAGGTAACCGGCGAATTCTTCATCATAGAGAAGACTGTCTGAGTTAGCCACACCGAGGAAGAGCCACAAGAGTCCATCAAACTTGAAATTAGGAACGTTCTCCATAAACATACGCCGTAGGTATCCTCTGAATGGAGCAACTCCGGTTCCAGTAGCAATCATTATGTGAGTAGCTTTCGGGGCATCTTCAGGTAAAAGCATAACCTTTCCCGAAGGACCTGTCAATAATATCGAACATTTTAGACCAGACAAGTTCGACAAAAGAACAGGTATCTATCGTTCTATTTCCATAAAACAGATAACTTACCGGTAATTTTGACCTTATCCCCGGGTTTGGCATTGCACAAGAAGTTGCTACATACACCAGCTTTGGATGGATCTTCTTTTCCTGTCTCTGGATCATAGTAAAGAGCTCGACGGACACATAGACTAGCTGTCTTGCCATCGAAAGAATCTCCATACCTTGTCGATGCAATCGAATAAAGGCGAACATTGTGAGGTGCACCCGGTTTCTTAGGATTCTCACCCTATACAAGCAAAGGCGATGCGTTAAAACCTATAACCAACAAGAGTTACCAATCAACTTTGCGAGTGAACCACTTACAGGAGGAATCACTCCATAGCTTTGTCCTTCCCAATAAGGAACATTACCATCATGATCAATTACAATGTGGCACGTCTCTCCAGGTGCTTGTGGACCAACAATTCTCTCAACCGAAACAATCGTTGCTGTATAAGGCTTCTTAGGCTTGTACAAGTTTAACGGAGTCTCTTTGGGATCTTCGAGTTCTAGAGGAGTAACCGAGACTTTCGATTTGCTTGCTTGCTGAAGTGACATACATACTGTGGACTGTTTTCTCACACTTAAGCTAGTTCTAGATTTCGAATTTAGTCTCAAAAGAGAACTCCATGACTTCTCAGTGAAGCTTATGCTTTGCACCTGAAGACATAATCATAATCAAAAGGTCAACGTTTACTACAAATTAGATGCTTGCAGATTGCAAAACCCAGTTTAAGGATTCAGATTTTTTGTCATCTTCTACTTCTAAAGACTGTACCTTTCAATACCAAATTCACTACAAGTCGACATCAAAACCAAAAGACAAAATTTTTTTAGGACCATCTAAGAATCTGAAACAACATAGGTCTGTAATTGATTAATCTAGATCGGTTTTGTTTTACCTTAATCATAGATCGGCTCGACCCATCAACTCCAGTTGGAAGTGAAACAGATATCTGAAATAAATAAAAAAACAAAACTTTTCATCAATCTCATGAACCAAAGGTGTTAAAAAGTATATAATTGCAAGAAAAACTCAAAGAACCTGAGAAAGAGGAGTTGAGAGAGCCATGGCGATGGAGTTTTCTCCAAAGGAATCAAGATAAAAATGATTTGAGGAACAAAAGAAACAGAGGAATTTTCTGGGTTTATAGTGAAAATGGTGTGAAGAAAGAAGATTGATCCTTTCAAGGCCCAGAAGAGACGACGACAACAAAAACAGCCCATACTGTCTGCAAAATTCTCAACTTGTTTTTGGCTCCTCGAGAGATTTTGTTGGTCAAATTAATTTATTAAATTTCGCTTTTGATTATTTTATTCTGAATGCAGCAATTTAAAGAAAAGAGGGGACTTTAACTATGTGATATTTGTGTTTTACAAATTCGAAAGCCAAACTTGTTGTTGAAAGTTTGGAACTTCTAATAATAAGTTGCAGCTAAATTTCTTGGAGGATGCATCCTTTAGCAAAGTAAAAATAACAAAATATTGTGTAGAAGTCACTTGAAATATCTTCTTGTTACTGACCTCTATCGAATTATCTTGATTCCGGAGACTTTACTATAACTCAACACAGTAAGCTAGTGAAAATCATGTGTCAAATTGAGACAAGACCAATTTGCATTTTGATAATAGACCCTACAATTAGAGATCAGAACAAACTATCCTTTTTAATTATTGAAATCCCAAATTATGAAATTTAGACAAAGAACTACTTTGATGCTTCAGAAATCTTCACTTTCTTTTAGTCCAAAACAGAGGCACTCCTAAACCAGAATTTCTGATTCACCTGGTGACAAGACCGGTTTGGTACTTTGGTTTAAGCGAAGCTCATTTTGTGACAAGATAGCCCTCGCTTTCAGGTAAATTTACAGTTCTGTGCCATCATGCTTTAATGAAACTACAACGACGTCGTCTCACTTTGACTTCTTCTTCTTCCACAGTATAGTCGAAACCCTAAATCTCCATTTCTCAGCAGAAGAAGCATGATTCGAGTTACCAGACCAAAACCGATCATCGACTCACTGAGTTACCACCTTCTCCAGAGATGCTCCGTTAGCGGAACCCCTAAAGGAAAATCCAAGCTCAAGACAGGTCAGCCACTGAAGCGTAACAAACTCACCACCAAAAAAGGCGGTAAATCCGGCGGCGGCGGAGGAGGAGGAGCTGTAGATGGAGAGGAAGCTGTTAAAGGAAAAGGACGGATTTCCGATGAGAAGCAGAAACTCTACGAGCAATGTTTAAACGCTCCTTGTCCTGTTCGCTATTTGACTCCTAAAGAGATGGAGCGAGAAGGGCAACGTGAGAAGCTAGGGTTGATTAGCAAAGAGAAGCAACGTGATATGGAGATTCAGAAGAAAGGAGGAGCTTCATCAATGGGAATCACCGAAGAGCCGATGCGAATCGGTACTCCAGGTTTGGATTACATTTCGTTAGGGATTTTCGAAGCTGAGGAATTGCCGAAATACAAGCTCACGATGGAAGACGGAGAGAAACTGGCGAAAGAGTACAGTAAAGTGCTGATGAGAGAGCATAGAGATCGTCGTGCAGCTGAAACTGCGTTGCTGAATTTGAAGAAAGCTGCGATTGAAGCATTGCCGGAGGACCTTAAGAAGGCTGCGTTAGAGCCTGATTTGACACCGTTTCCGTCGAATCGAGGTATGGCTACTCTTACACCGCCTATTGAAGGGTATCTAGAGACTGTTATGGATGCAGCTAAGAAGAGCTCAAGCAAAGAGAAGTTGAGATGACTCATTTTAAAGGTTAGAGATTTGTCTTATGCCATTGTTTTTTGCTTATGAGAGGAGCTTTGACCGTTTGTTTTTCCGATCAATGGAACGATTCAGGATTTAGAATTGAGTCTTTGGGTTTACTTTGTTGTAGAAAATGGGTCAAAATTGATGATTAGTGGTATTGATCTATGATGTTAAAGCTGGTCTCTTGGGTTTACTTTGTTGTTTAAAATGGCTCGAAATTGATGGTTAGCTAGATTTTATGTAGTATGATAGTTATCAAAACCTGAATGCTTTCTATAAATTTTCTTGTTTCAGATTGAGTTTTATGCATATAGCAAGTAGATGAATGAGAATCACTCACTTGTGTTTGTAAAGTTGAATTGGAAACTTTTGTAAGCATTCGGTCTCTGGGGTGACTCTTTGCATGTAGGCTTGAGTCTTATGTATGGCTCTTTGGACTATTATTTAGTTATTCTTTCTATCCTGTTCACATGTTTCTTAATTCAAGTCCTTGTATAGCCATATGTTGTGGTATTCTATTTATGTATGGAAATTTGATCAGAGTTTTCCTAATCAACTCTCTCTGTGCTTTGTTGTCTATGTATGCGTGGCTGTCTGCTCAGGACTTTCCTGATCGATTCTCTGCGGTTTCTTATCAAGTTTATCAATATTCAGATTGGAACAGCAGCTAGAGCCGATTTATCGAGAAGTTCCATAGACAGAACCTTCAAGAACGTGTCCTCCAATGATTCCAAGCTTGACTAGAGTATGCAAGCATTTAGGTGTTTCGCTTTTTTTGCAAACGAGATTTTCTGAAGCTCTCCATGTCCGGATCTTGATAAATTAAGTATTTTGAATTTATGATTCTTGGTTTATTATAATTTGCCATTCGTCAAATGATTATTCTTCAACAATATTGCTGCTATGATGATGCTATCTCTATAGTCCAAAGGTGAAACAAATGGAAAAATGTGCCTTCGAGCCTTATTGGAAGAACGTAACAATTGAAATTTTAATCCTCTTTGATTCATTAGGAGCCTCAAAATGTCAATAAAATAATGAGTACAATAAAACAAAAAAACACAAAGGTAGCAAAAACTGCAAGAGCTGCAAAGACTTGTAAATAATCCCTATATAACTTAAGATTTGATATTTGGCTTCAAGCACCTCAAAATTTTCAGTACCAACATTTCCTTTGATCCCAATGAAATCCTTATGACAGCCTTAAGTGATGAATTGCGACGCCATTTTGCGCAGACTTTATGCAGCCCCATCTTCCAAATCGTGTTTCCTGCCATATCGATTTCACAAAACACAACAGTTTTAAGATTAGTATTCACACAAAAGAGAAGACAAAGATAAAAAAACAAATTGGGCAAGAGAGGATTACACACCTGTCCAACACCGGCAATGATAAATTTACCAGATTTTGCAAGAGCCAAAGAGTTCACAAATCCAGTCTGTAAGATCACAAGGCATTCTGAAGATTAATACTGATGAAGTGAAATGCTTTTATCTTTGCACAGGCTCAATGTTTGTGAGGTATGAAATAATCATACTCAGATACAACGGATGAGTCAGACAACACTAAAAAACATAACTAGGGAAAAAGAATTTACCAGTGGAAGCTCGAACAAAGGTCGAAGAGCACTTGGTGCAGTTTCGACACCCCACAAACGCACAAAACCATTACCAGCTCCAGATGCAGCAAGATCACTACCTCTACTAACAGCAACTGAATTGACCCAAGAACTCGCTGAAGAAGAGTTATAGTCGACAGGTTCATGATCACCGTTTTCTGTTAAGAAATAAAAGAAATTGTGTTTTTGTAACAATATATTGCAATGCTAAGACTCGATGGCATCAGAGATGAGACGGAAACGAATTAAATGAAAGTTTACCTCCAATAGTGGATATTGCCTCAGCTACATCGTGATGGGCATTCTTGACAGTGAAGACTGGTTTCTTTTTTAACATGACCCAAAGTGCAACAGTTCCATTATCCGAACCAGACAGAAACTCACCCTCATTGATGAAACAGCAGCTCTCAAGAGACGATGCAGGAGCACGATAGATCGAACGAGTCCTCTCAGGCACCTATAATCATATAACAAGACTTAAAAATACAGAATAATAGAAACCATATGACGATGGCTCCCGATAATGTTCACATGGAAGATAGATTACCTTAATTAACTGCATGGTTCTATCTCTTCCAACCGTAAGTACACGATCCTTCCGTAGCACATCAAGGGCTAGAATTTCCGCCTGCGGTCCATAAGCATCGTCTACAAACGCTTTATCTTCTACATTCCACACCTTGACAGATCGATCAAATGAACCAGAATAGAGTTCCGGAGTTCCGTATCTGAAACATAGAGAAGAAACGGTGTTCCTGTGACCTGGAAAGGCCTGTAGACACATAATTATAAAAGTTGAGAGCAGGAATTGATGAAGGAAAATCATAAAACCACAAAAACAAAAACCCAAGTTGTCATTACCTGAACATGGTCCCGGGTACGAATGTCCCATATATGAACATGGCGATCAACTCCTCCAGTCGCCAAATAACGACCATCAGAGCTAACAGCTAAAGCAAGAGATTCTCTGCTGTGTTTTTTATTTTGAGGCTCCCTCACTTTCATCCCATGAGACTTCAGAATATCATCACTTGGCCATTTGTATTTATCAGTTTTTCCAGAATTTACATCCCAATGGACAATAGTACCGTCTTTCGAAGCTGAAAAACCTCTAGAATCGTCATCCGATAGAGCTACCGATACAACAGATTGTCGGTGCTTGACTATAACATTAAACTCATCAGTACTCAGTGGCTCCTGAACACTGAACCATTAAAAAAGAAAGATCTAATCACTATTTACAATAACCAATCTTCAAACATATCAAAATTAACCTAACAAATGTAAAAAAAATCACTAATTTTCTTCACAATTGAGTCTATTCCCTAAAACACATGCTACCCATAAACCCTAAATTACCCAGAATTTCAGATCAAATGAATTCAAATTGAATTTGAATATACATAAAGCTACTCAATTTCTTCATTACCTCGATGCAATGAATCTTCGAATCCTACCACTATCCTCCTGCTGCTGCTTCATCAAAGACTTCACAAGACCGTCG